GGGACAATCTGGATTTACCTTAAAGATGCTGTGAGGTGCTTTGCTTTTGGAACTCCTAATTCTGCTCTGCTTCCTCTTTCTGGACGTCTTGGGCCAAAGATGACCCTCGAGCCCTCTGTGGACAGCCTTTGGCTTCTGCTAACATGCATGCATGTGTTGGGAACCTACGTCTTCCTTGAGCACCCCAGAAAAACCTGTGAAGGCTGCATTGGTAGGCATTGTGCCAGTGGCATAAGAAGATAAGATAAACCAGGAAGTTGGGTTTTCTTGACCACAGGCTCTGTGGAGAGGCCAAATCTCTCTATAGAGATGGAGGGTCTCTTTCGCTCCCTGAACCCTGTCCCCACTGCCTTGCAGGTGACAGTCATACCTTTGCTGTGTCATGACACAGCTGAGATACTGGTCCCAGTTGTGATACGCTGGCAGTACTTTCATGGTGCACAGGCAGCAATGGAGTGTGATTGTTACAACGTGCTCAGCGCACGTGGCTCGGCGTTGTTTCCCCCTCTTGTCGTGCAGTGCTGCATGATGTAAATGGACCCAGCGGAGTGGCAGATGGGTTGTGCAGGAGCTGAGTCACTACACTCGTACTGAGCTGCAGGCAGCTCCTGGTTTGGGGGTTGGAGAAGGAGCAGGAAAAATTACTTCCGCTTGAATTATTTTCTTCCTCACTTTACTTCAGTACCTATGACTCTTAAGTTGTCAAACTCTCTGCCTGTGTTACCCTGCTCCCTGGGTGTAACTCAGCCATGGTGCTGGTGTGATCCCGCCTGGGGCCATTCTATAGGACATGGTGGCTGTCAGCCATCTGGCAGTAACCAAGATAAGGTAGATGGAAGGACCTTGGCCTCCTCCCAGGAAGATCTGAGTCCCCAGGCTGTGTAAAGGTTATGGTGGTTTCTCTGTGGATGCTGTTATGTTCTTTCTGTGTCAGGGTGCCTCTGGACGGCAGCTCTTTCCCAATCTCTTGCTAAGTTAGAAAACGAAGTAGCTCTTGTGCTGTGCATCTGAGCAGGGAGAGAAATCTGTCCCGTTGCTATGAAGGTCTTAAAAGTGAGCGAGTGGAGTCTGATGTTCATAGACTTTTCCCTTGCACAGCAGCGCTTGGGACAAGAGGGAGAGGAGCTAGTGTGTTCAAGTAGAGCGTGTGAATTCTTGTGTCTGCTTCAACTAGTTCTCTCTCTTCAGCTCTGCAAATCTGGCCTCTCTCCTGCAGATAGTGACTCACTGGTATCAAAACAAAACAGACAAGTGAGGTTTGCAATCCCCCCTCCCCAAGCTTGTGGAGGTTTCTGTTTCTCTAAGCAGAGTCAAAATGTGCTTGGCTTGTTCAGAGAGCTGTTCTGTAATGGGATAAACATGCAGATGCTGTTGTCTGTTTAGTGTTTGGCTTGGAGATGATAAACACTGCCCCAGTGGCAGCCCTCAGTGGGCCTGTGCCAGGAAGCACGGTAAGATCCATCCTCCCAGAAGGCTGCCAGGCTGGTGCGCTCAGCTGCTGGCCAGGAGTACCCCTGGTGAGCCAGTGCTGCTGAAGTACTCCTGGTCCTCTGCTGGGTGTTGAGAGAGAGCATCGCCACGTTAGCAGCATGGCAGGGTTGGGAGAGGGGGTGGCAGGGGCTGTGTAGCAGGGCAGGAGTCTCTCTCACCTTCTTGCAGGAGGCCTGAAGACTGAGCACTGAAGCGGGCTGCTGTCACGTGCGGGTTGGATGGGATCTGCCTGCCCTGGCAAGCAGGATGTACTCTTTGGCAGAGCAGCCCGGAGATGAGCGATGAGTGGAGTAAACTGAGTGGGTGCAGAGCGCTGTGAGCCTGGAGAATATCTGCGGGTGGTGAAGTTACCAGATCTCTCTGCAAGTGCTCCCTCTGCCACTGCTAGCCTTCAGCAGCGTGCAGGAGGGGTGTCTGCAACCCTTGGCCCAAGCCAGGAGAGCAGCTGGGAAGAGATTGTGTCACCTGGCAGTTGTGTACCTGGTGCTGCAATAACTGGCCTCCTAGTGCTGACACACTAGCTGCTTGGTGTAGTGGCTCGTGGCCTGTCCTGGGACATCAGAGTGTTGACGGGTGTTGTAGAAAGGCACAACCCAAGTGAGTTGCAGGGGTTTTTTTGTTGTCTGGAGATTTCTAAATCCTTAAACCTGTTGACAGATGAGTTTCCAAGGTGCTCAATCATATCTTGGGTCTCAGTCTGTCTCTGCTTGCCCTCTGTGTTCCCGAATGCTTGTGTGTCAGCCCTGTGTCTATGCTGAGCTCACCAGCAGCTCTAGGATGTAGCTGCTCTGATAACTGTCTCTGAATCTTGCAAGTGTTTTGGCACAAGGCATCCCAGCTCCTATGGATTCCCCAATGTGGGGGGAAGTTGTGCTTAAATGAGAGACTTCCTTGGAATGGGGGTCTCGGTGCTTCTCCTGCCCTCAAGCTCCTGTCCAGCTGGTGTCTCGGCCTCAATAAGGAATTGGTGTTCTGAGCTTATGAGCACTGTTAGCCTTGCATGCTTGTGCAGTAAAACATGCTTGGGCTTCCTGTCAAAAGCATATTGCTAAATGCAGTGATATGTCTCTTCAGCAGCTCAGTCCAGGCAGTAACTGAAGCCCCTTCCAATCTTGACATGCCGAGGGTAGAGTGAGTGTTAGTAACAGCTGTGTTAGGGTAAAACAAAACCCAGATTGAGCTGAAACTGCACTTGAACTCCTAAACAACACCTGTACTAATACCACATTTCTGGGCCTGTGTTTCTTTTTTTGTGAAGAGGTTGACAGAACAGCCTGGGCCTGTTTGCAACCTGAACCAGGCTGCTAAACCTGGCTTGCCAGAAAAAGCAGTGGGAAGCACCTTGAAAAGCCAGGCCTCAGAAAGTGGGAGTAGCGACTCGTCTGACAGTGAGGAGTCCTCTGTGGCACAGGCACAGCCTCCACAAGCTGGTAAGTTTCCTGGTAGTGGCCAGGATCCCTCACCTGTGTCCTCATGGGTTTACTTCTCTCCCCTACACAAAGGATGGCCCAGCCTGTTGTGATAGCTGCTGCTCTGGAGAGCCACGTAGAGCAATTCTTTCTCATGGTGACAGTCTCTTATGCTTTTCCTGCAGTGAAAACCAATGCTGTGCGCCCACTGACAAATGTGAAGAAGGCACCGACTCCAGCACCAGTGCCAGCCCCTCCACCTGTGGACAGCAGTGATGATTCCAGTGAGGATTCAGATTCAGAGGAAGAAATAGTCCCCCCTTCGCAGGTAAGGAGCTGCTGACCCACTGGGTGGGGATGCTGTTAGTCCTGCATGCTCAGGAGGTCTCAGGACTTGCGAGGTGGTAGTTGGGCGAGTCATGAGCGGTGCAGAGGGGAGCCCTCCTGTTTTGGCTGGGTCAGGTTTTCTTGGCAGCATCCCTGGGCCTTGCTGACCCCAGCTCTGGGTGCATGTCTTGGCCACAGCAAACTTGCAGTGTGTGAGAGCAGTGGAGGGTGTGAATGTTTTGGCAGGAACATGAGTAGACACATGAGTCCAGACCTCCACTGGGACTCTGTCCCCTTTGCCCTACTCCAGGGAGCTAGACTGGAAAACTAGCCAAATTCTTGCAGGCAGAGTCCTTCCGCGAGCTGGGTAGCTCCAAGGCAACCCACCCTGTGTTTCCTCCCAAACCCCTGGGTGTGGGGTGCAGCTGGAGCTCTCTGCTCCCTCTCCACAAGCCTCAGGAAGCTGGAGGAATCTGCCCTGAAGGGTAGCAGTGGTCCTGACCTCTGCCTTGGAGAAGAGAGGTGATGCCCATATCTGTACAGAGACACTGCTTAGTGTCACGAAGCTGATCCCAGCTCTCTGACCTGAGTCTCTTTGTGTCCCTTCATGTCCCCATGCGAGGCCGTGGCTGAGCTCCCTAGGGCCTGAGCTGCCTCACTGTGAAGCTGGCTTTGGTGTCTTTGCACCTCTGCTGCAGTTTGCGCCCGAGAGAGAAACCCTGTGAAGAAGCTTTGACTGAGGAATGTGTCTGCCATTCCTACGTGGTGGTGGCTTGGCTGCTGCTCTAAGCCCATGGCTTAGTGGCCAGGCGTGCTTTTTGTCCCTGCTTATATGCGTCCCCTGTATGGTCAGCACCCTTGCTGGGATGAGGTGGATTATGTGCACTCAAGGAAACCCTCCCCCTTGTTGGCCTGATGCTGTGGCCAGTGGAAAGGGTGTCTTCCCTGCAGCTGGCAGGCAGGCAGCCAGCCTGAGCAGTCCTTGATTAAAGTGTGTTTATAGTACCAAGATTGTATAACATAACGCAGTTGCTGTAACTTGAGCTTTGTGCAAGACGGCTGAGAGCTCACGTCGGATTGGCGGCTCTCTGCATGGTGGAGCGCTGCCTGCCTTTCTGAAGGCCAGATGTGTGAGGGAAATGTCAGCCCACAAAGGCCGAGCTTGTCAGCAATCCGGGGAGGGAGGTTGCTCATGTAGCCTCATTTGTAACACAAACCAGGAGGCTGAGCACTCCTTCGTTGCTCCAGTTCCCTCCTCTGCTGGCATTTGTGTCTTGGACCTGATGTCAGTGTCTGATTTCCATGCCCCTGGCTCTTCTATTTTTAGCCCCTGTTACGTTTAGTTTAATGGGAGATTTCAAATGCGAGGCAACAAAATTGCTTCTTGTTAATTTGTGCTCAAATGTGTGGTTTGCTTGTGGACCTGAAGGCAGATTTGCCCTCTGGTTGATGTCTTTGCTTTATCTCTGTTGCCAATTAAGTCTTGATGTGTAATTTCTTTGGAGAGTAAGAGACATCCTGGAGTCCAAGTGCCTGCTTTGCAAAGCAGGGTTTGCAGCTACAGTCTTGCTGGTGCTGCAGTGGATAGGGATCTCACAGCCTGCAAGCACATCACATTTTGCCTGCCTGCCCTCGGGATGCGTGCCTTTGGGGCACTGAGCTAATGCTTTTGGCACTCCTGAGGTGGTAGCCCTCACTTCTCTGCTCCCGGCTGTGCCAGAGGCCCTGCTCAGAAGCTCATAGGAGACAGAGCTGGCCTGTAAAGGGGGAGTGGGGAGGGAAGGTGCTGTGCTGAAAATGATGGAACAGCTCAGGAGTTAGTGATGGATTGGTGTACATTTCTGTCTCTTTTCCTTCCAAGTGGTGCTCTGTCCTGATTTTCTTTCTCATTTATTTTAGAGTCTGCCCCAGCAGAACGTCAAAGCAACCAAGGTTTCAAGCTCAGTGGCTGCCAAGGCTAATGCCACGCTGCCTTTGGGGAAGGGCATAAAAGCACCTGCTGTCCCTCCAGTTAGCAGAGTGTCTGAGAGCTCGAGTATCAACTCCTCGGAACACAACGTGGTGGCAAGAGCGGTAATGACAGAGGAGACTAAAGTAGGGATCTTTCCTGGGGAGAGTGGGTAGATGTGTGTGCTGGCGTCTTGAGACTGGTGCCATGTCCCCAGCTGAGGGAGTGTGTTGGTGGAGGGGGGGTGAGGAGGGCTGCTCTATTTTAACCACTGTTACCGTACCATAAGGTGAGGCAGATGAGCAGAGGATAGCCCTGGTACCTTTGCTGTTCCTGCCTCTCGGCTGGCTGGCAGGTTTCTTCCTCCTTTTGTGATAGCAGTACCCTGTACAGTCAGGAGTTGTCTGCTTGGCCACAGCTGCCTGCTTCATCTGTGGGCCAGAGGGAGATGGGGGTCTCTGTGCCCTGCATGAGAGGTTCTTGAGTTAACCTTGACATCAGTTGGAGCAGTATGGCTGAAGAAGGGCCAAGGTGGTCCAAGCCCATCTGCTCTGGCCTCTTCTTATAGTTCATGGGCATGAGCAATTAGTCCTTCTAGATGCATTTTGTCTTCCTCTCCCTAGGCCCCAACTCCTCCTTGCCTAAAGCAAACGGTTCCTGTGAGAAAAGCTCCTCCAGCCAGCCCTGCTGCCCCGCAGCCTGCTTCGCTTCTGGGAAGTACTCCTGCCAAGTCAAGGAAGCCAGGCCTGCAGCCAGCGCAGGACGCCCGGCTGAGCCAGCCTGTACCACCCACCCAGGCAGAGGAGACCTCAGACAGTAGCAGTTCCTCAGACAGCGATGAGGAGACAACGCCCAAGCAGCCCCCCAAACCTGGTCAGTTCTTCCAAGATGCTGTCAATGCTGCTGGCCAGGCCAGGGTGGAGACAGCATTTGGTCATCCTGTGGGAGATGTCACCTTCAGGGAGTGGTTGGAGAGGGTTTCCCACTCTCCAGCTTGGCAGAGTGCTCCCCTTTCTTTGGAGGCAGAAGGTCTTTTGGTGGTAGTAACTGTGCTGGGTAGGTGAGCTCAGCCCCAGGCAGTAGTGGTGAGTTTAATGGGATGAACTCTGCTCTTCCAGCAGGCTTGCTGCAGAAACCAGGAGGGACCCAGCCAGCCCACAGCTCCTCCTCAGAGTCCAGTGAGGAGGAGGCAGTGTCACAGGTATGGTAGCTGAGCAGGCTGGGATCCTCTCAGGTCTTGCAACTGGTTCTTAAAAGTAGGACAGAGAGAGGATTGAGTTCTCAGCCATAGCAAACAGGATGCTGAGTGGGTGTGCTAGCACAGAAGTGGGGGCTTCCCAGTGCGGTGCTGTGAACAGGGCACACACTGTGAGTGGGGGCAGAGAGAGGCTTTTGAACATGGAGTGTTTCCCCAGGCAGCTGGGCCTTGGATGCAGGGCTCATGATGCCTTCCTCAGCAGAAAGGATGGGACCAGGTGGTACCTTGCAAGGGTTAAATGAGGCAAACTGGTGCACAGTGCCAATAGCAGCAGGACTTTTTTCCCCACTTTTATTTGTAACTTAACCTGTGTCCAAGCTGTTAAATTCCCTTTGTAAGTAATGTGCAGGGCGTGCAGCACATCTGCAGTGCATTAGCTGTGCGTGGGTGCATGCTAATGGCCAGGAGCCTCCCCCAGGCCTGCTTTGCTGGGCGAGAGCAAAGAGGAGAACGTCTCACCATCAGCTCTTGCTGCTGTCAGCTCAGCCAGTGTCTGTCAGTGCTATCCCCCTCTCCTGGCAGCCCTGGCTTTTCTGCAGGGTTGGGTGAGTGGTGCAGCATCACTGCCGGTGGCCAAAGGTGGGCCCTTCTCTTAGAGTACAGGGGCAATAGCAGAGACAGGTCTGTGTGCCTGGTGTGTGGGAGGCTGCCCTGCTGTGAGTCCTCAGTGTGTCTGTGATGTTTCAGTCCCTCCTCACAGGCCTCTCCAGGACACCAGCAGCACCCCAGGCACCAAAGACGGTTCCCCCTCAGCCTGTAGGCAAAGTGGGGCAAGGGAAGGCAGCCGTGACTGCTGCGAACTCCCTCACCAAGGCCCCTGTGAAAGCAGCCCCAGCTGACAGCTCCAGCAGTGACTCCGACACAGACATTGACCAGGTGGCTGCAAACCACAAAGCAGGTGGGTCTCCTTTGGCAAGGTTGGGAATCTGCTTGGCCCAGGAGCAAAGCTGTGTTGGCATGGGAGGGTGACACTGGGACGAGGCCCTGAGCCCAGTGTGTCTTCCCTGCAGATCCCAGTAGCGTGGAGTGCTGCTGCCGTCTGCTGGCTTCCCTTGGCCACAACACAGCCCTCTTCTTTAACACCCTTCCTGTGCTGGCTGGCTCACAAGTCTCTGTGCCTTTACCTTTCCCAAGTTATCCATTAACTGCAGTAATTAATGCAATTAATGGGAATAGGTAGGGCTCTCCCTAAAACCTGTGTCCACTGCACTGGTGTGCTGAGGTAGTGATGGCCCTAGGGAGCATTTAAACACTGGCTGAAGAGCGTCTGCTATACAGTGCTGATATTCAAGCCTCCCCTTGGTCTTTCTGGGATCTGTAGTATGTCTGGAGGGCAAGGAAGGGGAAGCGCCTGGAAAGACATATGGAGAAACAAAATGTCCTGTGATCTCCCTATTGCCCTGCTTTGTTGGCAAATTGTAAAACTCAGAGCTGGAAGCTGCTTCTGCTCTGGAGTGACCCTGGCACCTTCAGATGAACTCTGGTCTGGCTGTGAGCTCTGGCCCACTCTGGAGGCTCATACAGATCTGTGGCTTCTTGGGCACATTGTTAAGTTGTGCAAAGGGCTGTAGAGGAGGTCAGAACCTATATATAGGTTCAAAAAGGCCCAGGTGTTAGGCAATAGGCCATTGGTGATGGTTAAACGTGGTGGTATGGATACCCCCTCCACCTTGGGAAGTCCCTGGCTTGCTGGGGGTGGTGTCCTGGGGAAGGACTGCTCTGTCCATGCTCATGTGTCTTGTGCTACAGTTTCCTCTAGTCTAGTCCCTGTTCTCCATCGATGTGGCCAAAGCTGTTGTGGCTGTTGTCACCCACTTCTCTTGCCAGACACTTGATCTCAGGCTGAGGCATCTTTCTCTGGCTCTGCTGTACTTGGGATGGCCAGCAGGCTTTGCTTTTGAGGGAGAACTGGGTGCTTCTCTTGAAACTCAAGCATATTTCCATCCTCCAGTAACTCTGTGGTCTGTGTAATGAATGCTCTCTGTGTTGTCGTCTCTCTCTTGTCATTGTTTCTGCAGAAAACAACCCCCCTCCAGGGCAGGAAGCCACAGGAGCCTCCAACAAAGAAAAGGTGGCAGGAAAAACAGAGCCAGGTCATGCCAGCCTCAAACCTTCCCCAGCCAAGAAAGCCCTAGCTGTGAAAGAGAATGATGTTGGGGCGAAAGGGTCACAGGTGACCCCAGCACCATATGCACTGCGGTCCATCCCACAATCAGAGGAGTCAAGCTCGGGGAGTGAAACTGAGGTCACCAGTGCTGCCAAAGCTCCTCCAGTGCAAACACCGGAAGGGTTGGAAGAGAAGAAAAAGAAGAAAAAGGAGAAAAAAGAAAAGAAGGAAAAGAAGAAGTCTTCCTCTACAGCAGACAAGGCTGTGAAAACATCTAAGAGCAAAGAGAACAAGAAGCAGAAAACATCTCGGAAGCGGAAACTGCCAGGAGACGATGGGGCTGTCGGGCAGCCCAAGGAGAAGAAGCAGAAAGGGCAAGCTAATGAAGAAGTACCCAAAAAGAAAAAGAAGAAAGCAGCTGATGACCTGGAGAAGTTGCCAGGTAGCAAGGAAAAGAAAAAATCAGCTAAAAGTAAGCATCCCTCACCTGCGGCTGCATTTGCAATAGGTCTTGCAGCTGATGGCTGTTCAGCCTCTGTTCTGGGGCCTTGTAAGTAGCACCCACTTTCCCATTAGCATCCTGCTTGGCTACTTCCCTCTTGGCCCACCCAAAGCCAATGCCACATTTTTAACACCTCATTAAGTGTTTTTATGCAGTCTCAGCACTAGGTTTTGTTGCAGACAACAAGTTGGGCTCTCCTGCCCCTCTGTCCTGCATCTGGCACAGTGGGAGCTGTGTTAATGCTCATGCTAATCCTTGCTGCTTGCAGAGCAAGCTGATGTCCCCATGAATCTTCTAGGGCATGGCCTGTCCCCTCCTTTCCTGGCCTTCACCCTGGCTGGAAGCAGCTGTCTAGCTGAGGGCTGGCAAAGAGTTGAAGTGAGTCTGCATTGAACCTCCCGAGGCCACGTTGCCCACCTCGCGTGGCCTGCCCACCTGCGCTGGGCTTGGGAGAGTTCTTGCCAGTTGTAAGCCACGAACAAGGCCTGTATTCTGCCTGCTGCACTCCATGGGGTGCCCTGCTCTGTGCAGTGCAGAACAGCTCTGCTGACCCAGCTGGCTACCCTGGCTTCTCTGTGGCAAACACAACATGTGCTAGCAGAGAGCTAAGGTGAAATGTGGCTGGGAATGGCAGACAGAAGGTCCCCAACTACCATGCTGTGGGCATGGCAGACGAAGCCTAGCGTTCACATGCTGCCAGCCTCTTTAAGAGATCAGCCTTGAAATCTGTGCTATCATCAGCTGTGTCAGCCACTGCTGTTCCCCATGGGGTGACAGTGCCCCTTCCTGACCCTGCCTGAGCAGTCTGCAACATGGTGAGCAGCTCATTCAAGAGATTTGACTCGGGACCATTACAGCTGCTTTCAAACCCCTGGAGAAAGAGGAGGATGGTACCAGCCTCCTGCTTGTTGCTCCCAATTAAGAGCGTTTCCTGCCCTTCTTGTCTGTGTGCCTCTGCAATGCTCTGTTTGCTGCCCTAATGCAAAGGCAGTCTTTTTTTCTTTGCAGTGCAGACTGCATTTGCAAATCAGAGCTGGTTCTGTGCTGGATCTTGTAGGCTTTTTTTTTTAAATTGAGATGGAATGGGTGGGCCAGATCTGCAGGGGTTTCTGTTCAGCAGAGATGCCGCCTTTCATTTTGGAGGAGACAGACTTGTCTCTCATTTCTGGCATGTGCCCAGCTACTCCAGGGCTGAAGTAGTTCCTCGGAGTGGGTGGGCAGCAGGAGGTGGAAAGAAGGGGATCCTATATAATCCTGCCCATGCATGTGCATGGATGGTGGGATCAAACCGCTCTGGCTCAGAGGTCCTGGAGAAACAGGCCTGGGTGCAGCTGCCTTGTAGCTGGGCTGTGCCCTCACCCAGTTACTGCTCTGGAAAGTTTGTTCAGGTTTGGATGTGATCAGAAACTTACTGGAGATGCTCCTACTGCTCCTACTCTGAGTGCTGCGTCTCAGAGGTTAGCCGTACCAGACTCCCTCTCAGTTGACTTTTCTTTCTTTCTACCAGAGAAAAAGACTGGAAAAGAAAAGAAGAGGAGCAAAAAGGTGTCTTCGGAAGGGGACCCTATAGCAGATGGCTCTGCTGAGGTTCACAAGAAGAAGAAGAAGGTATGTGCAAGACCCTGGGATGGGCTACCATGCAGGGAGCTGTTCTGAACCACAGTTGTGATGCTCATTCCAGCAGCATGCCAGGCTGGAGAGGAACAGAGCTGTGTCCTGGCCTTGCTGGCAGTACAGGGGAGGCTACAGTTAACTGTGGCTGGTCTTGAGACACCCTGACCTTTGGTTGGTTGGGATTGGGGTGGCTTGAAGAAGGGCTTGTTCCTGTATCACTCCTCCAGGAGAGATCCCTTTCCCTGGAACAGTCAAACCCACAGCCCCTTTTGGTGGCAGAGAACCTGCCCAAGGAGTAAGTGCTCTTCTTCAGCTGTCTGTTCATCTAGCTGTTTTCAGCAGAAACTGGAGCTCCTGAGGGCTTGGCAGGCTACTGCATCCCATCCCAAGGGCTAGGAAGGGGGGCAGAGGGAGACCATAGGATGTTCCTTGTAATGGATATGTCCCTGTAGCGATGGTAGCCAAGAAGCTTCTGTGGGTTGTGGGTTTGCTGAGTCCTTCATGTTTGTGGTGCAGATGATACTGATTTATTTTTCACCCTTTTGTTTTTAGAAGAAGAAAACAGCTGAGCCGGAAGGATTGTGAGAAGGTACATGGCCTGTGGGGACTATCAGTTGGTACCTCTGAACGGCAGTAACCTTGGCCAAAATCAGTACTCCTGGGCCTGTCTTGAGAAGACAGTGTGCCCTCTAAATGTTCACTGAGTCAGCCTGGCCTTAGATTAGGGCCAGGGAGTGGAGCGGTGTGAGGAAGGTCATGCAGCAGTGCGCTGGCTTCTCTGGATGTGTTTGACCTCAACTCTTTAGCTGCTGAGAACTGCATGTCCAGCCTGGACATTGCTGTCCTCTGTCATCAGCAGAGATAAGCGGCCTCTGGCAGTGTCTGTCTGTCCCTGCTGGGGACACAGGAGAGCTTGGAAAAGTGATGTGGATTAGATGGTGATGTTGTAGCCACCTGGACATGGACCAGATGATTCTACTTCTGCTCTGCTCAGCTGTAAGGCTGTTCTCCTCCTCCCCATCCCTAACTTTTTTAACTCCTCTCCCCAAAGGTACCACATCCCTGTGATTAAGGATTTATGGGTGAAGATCAAACAGAAGAGAGGAAAAGGAAGCTCATCAGCAGAATTCCAACTTTTTTTTAAAAAAATATAATAATTTATAACTTCTTTTAACTGTGACTTTTAGAGCAGAGCAGTGTAACTTTCTGCCTCCTTCTGCCCTGCTGGGGCCCAGAGATGTGTGTGTTTGCCCCTCCTGACAGCTCGCCTGTTGCACAAGAACTGAACTGAAGGAGGCAGTTTGACCAGAGAAGAGCCAGCTTGCATAAACTACTTTCCTCCTAGTTGATATCCAGCCTTCTCTTTCTCTTTCTCATCACAGAGCTATATTTTTAAGAGAAACTTTTACCTTCCCCCTGCCCCTTCTGTGATTTGTGGTGTCAGTCCTTTTGCTACTATGGAAGAGAGCTCTTGGGTTTACTTTTTATTCTAACACTGACAGCAGTGATTATCGTGTCCCTGGAGTTGCACTGAACAGCTGTGTCCAGCAGCTGTTCTCAGCCAAGGCGGCGTAATTTTTTGTGGATTTTTTTTATGGAATACAAAATAAATTTTAAAAAAGTGAGATTTTTGCTTCAGCTGCTTTCAAGGGAGGAAGGGAGGTGAGAAGGCCTTCGGTTCAGGGACCAAACCCAGGGGGGGCAGGGCAGGCACGGGGGCTGAGCCAGGGGCAGTGCTCAGCTGCCTCTGGAGGATGTTGCAGGTAGGAGAGCAGAGCCCAGCTTCTACCTGGGTTCATGGGCACTGCTTCAACCCCTGGGGAAAAATTAATTGCTTTCTGCCTGCTCCCCAGGGAAGAGCAGATGCTTTTGGTTTTAGTTTCTTTTTTTTAATTACTAAAATGCTCCGTAGGGGCAGGTGCTGAGAGGAGGTTTTTGCATTGCTCTGTGCTGACCCAGCCCTTGTACTAGGCTTGTGCCCGGTTTCCTTACCTTACCCCCAGCCCTGGGATTTAGCAGGCGAGGAAAAAGGGACTGGATCCCCTTGCACTCTGTCCTCCCATGCTGTGCAGCTGCTGTGCAGCCTGGGGCCAGGCTCTGCTGGCCAGGAGGGCACAGCTCTGCGGCTGCCACCCTTGCACCTGCACAATCCAGAGGGAGATGGCTGCCGCGCAGGGGGCTGCTCTCCTCTCCCCCCATGCTGTGCCTCACCTAAAGGTAATTTCAGCCTCCTGGTCCCTGATGAAGATTGAGATTGAACAAGTGATGGGCAAGGAATGTGTGTGATCCTGGGATGAGGCACAGATGTCCAAGTGCAGAGATTTTTCTTTTTCCCTTTTTTCCTTAAGATTCGTTTATTGTTAACCTAGGACAGCTGCAAACTGTTGGCAAGCACTGCCCTGCTAGAGTTGCTTACAAGGCTTTCTTATTCAAAAGTTGATTTGAAATAATCAGAGTGTGAGGTCATTTAGAAAGGAACTATCAGATATATACAGAAAAATTAGAAGCTCTCCTGCTTGCTGTTACCCTCTGCTGTGGCTCTGTTCAAGCCTGAAGGCAAAAGCTGAAGGTAAGCATCTCTACAAAACCAAGCACTCCACAATAAAAACCCTCTACTCTAGTTAATCTAGCGGAGCTTCAACCTACAGGGGTGAGTTAAGAAGCTGGTGGAGGTTGTTTTGCTGCTTTTAATGTTCGTTCAGTGTAATAAAACATTAGTTCTCGTTCTTCAGCAGGGATGAGCTTTATGCCTGCCGCTGCTTGGGAGCTCCGGGATGCCAATGAGCAAAAAGGAACAGTATGTAGGGGTCTGACATCGTTGAAATCACTTTCCAGCCTGCTTTACCCTCCTTTGAGGGAACACTTTGTCGATAGCACTGGTCCTGGTGGTGGCCCAGCCCTGTTCGGTGCCCTGTAGCAGGGGAAGGGTCACAACAGATGCCTTGAGGGGCAGGAGCGCACAGCGGTGTCTGCTGTTAATCTTCTCAGGGAAAGCAATGTAAGAGCAGAAATGAAATAGAGCAAAAAAGTAAAACATGGGGCTGGGATACCGAAGAGGGGACAGGCATCTGCTGGTGTCCTCTTCTATGGGGCTGTTGGGGAGAAGAGGAAGGAGTCAGGGAGGTGGCTCCAGAACTTCCCAAAGGCCAGGCTGCCTTTGCCTGTGTCTCCATCACAACCTCCACTGCCTCAGCAGTGCCTTTGAGCTGTGGCTCCCCCAGCCCCCCCAGCTCCTCTGCCCCAGCCCCAAGAGCTTTCCCCAACACCCCCAGCCCCACCACAGCACTTGGCCTCTCACCTTTCTCCACCCCGGTCTTAAGCATGTCTACCCCAGAGAAGATCATCTCTTCTGGCTCCGTGGGGGCAGCATCTGCAGAGGGAGGGCAGGACATGGGTGCTGGAGCCCTGGGGCTGCCCCATTGCCCCCACCCCTCTGAGGGCCGCAGGGAAGAGCCTGCACCCACCCACTGAGCCACAGGTTTAGGGGCTAGGGGAGCTCAGGGAGAACCTCAACCGCATGCCTCTGCTATCGGGGCTGTGTGCCTGTGGTTTTTAGGGTCCCCTCCATCTTTTACAAGCTGGCACCAAAGGTGGGTGAGGGATGCTGTACAGCTCAGGCACCCTTCTCTCCTTGGCAGTTCTCCTCCTCCCTAATCGCAAGCACAATGGGACACAGCATCCACGCACGCTGCTCGTTCCTCTTCTTCCCCTCCCCAGGGACCTACCCTGGCAGTCCAGCTTTTCCCGAGTGGCAGTGCCCTCAATCCTGGTGCCATTTTTGTAGGAGCACCAGCAGTAGCCCGTGGCAGCATTGCACTGCTTGGGCAGGTAGTCGCCGTTCTCATCGCACTGCGGGCGGAAGCGGCCCGGCCAGACACCCCCAGCATCGGCCTCCGCCTGGCACTTAGTTTGCACTAGGGCAATAAAAACAAAGGGGAGACACCGTGAGCCCCCCAGGCCCTTCTGCTGCCCGGCAGCCTCAGCAGGAGCTTTTTATCCAGAAACAGTTAAATTAAATTTAAAAGGCAAACAAGCCCCACCCAGGTGACGTTTCTAAAGCTCTTGGGCTAGCCAAGGACTGAGGATTTGGTGTGGTGCTCTGGCTTTTCAGACATTTGCTCATCCCAAACGCCCTGCGGGCAGTGGTTCTGTGATGTTCCCCACGGAACAAAGAGGTCCATGAGCGGTCAGGGGATGGAGGGTTTGGTTGCCTTTGGGAAGCCCCGTGCTGGCACCTCCTGGGGGGTGGCTGCTCCCGGAGGGCCAGTCCCCATCCTCCCCAGCTCAGCAGTCCCCATCCCTGATACCTTTCTCCGCTGGGATTGCCTTACGCTCCTCCACCTTGGAGTTCTTGGCCATTTCAAAGAGCAGCCACTTGTGCATCCAGGATTCAAAGGACTGCAACAAGGGAAACCGGCACATTAACGGGGGGAGCTGTACCGCAAGCTCCAGCCTGGGCCAGGTAAGGTTGTGAGCCCCACCACCTCCCTTGGGGTGGGAATAACCCAAGCCTGGTTCAAGCAGGACTTCACTTTTCCAGGTGGGGACATCCCACTCCCTCCCCAAAGCAGGGTGCTCCTGGAAGGGGCGGGGTAGGACGGCAGCGAGCACTGACCTTCCAGTCTGCGTCAGTCATAGTGTTCTTCAGGCTCTTCAGGTTGTCCATCAGGTTGTCCTTCAGCACTGGGAACATCTTCCTGGGGTCTGCTTGCTGCAGAGTGACCACCACGGTGAGACAGGGCAAAGAAAAACGAGGTGTGTGGGGGTGAAGCTCTGCTTATATCAGCCAGACAGACATTGCAGCAGGACAGGAGTTCCCAGCCACTTTGAGCACCCCAAGAGATCCCAGACCCAGCCAAGAGACAGCTTGAAGCTGGAAGCAGAGGGTCCCATTGCCTCCTGCAGCACTGGGGGCAGCTACAGGGTCGGTGGGGGTGCAGAGGACCTTACCAGCAGCAGGTGCCTCACTTGGTCCTCAGTTTTGTTGCTAGCAGGGGCCGAGACCTCAAGAGAAAAGGCAAAGGGGCAGTGTGAGCACGAGGGCTGGCAGCAAGCCCCCGGAGCAGCAGGCAGCAGCAGGCATCTCTTACCATGTTGCCGGCAGCGGGGGCAAGGGGCAGGATCCTCGCGGCCAGGGGCATGTTCACCACAGATATCTTTTTCACCGGCTTGGCACCTGCCAAGGAAGGAGCAGTGTGAGGGGCGGTGGGTTGGTTGGTCCCACAGGACCCGTCCCCAATCCTCGGCCACCGCCCAACCATGCTGGTGCCCATGGGGCTACTGACTGGCAGGCAGCTTCCTCTGCAGCGCCTCGAGCTGCAGGTTCTGGGAGGTCTTGGTCAGCTTGCTGATCTGCCCGCTCTGCTGGTAGACAAAGTAGATGGTGACGGCCTGGCCAGCGATCAGCAGGGCCACCAGGATGGAGAGCGTGGAGAAGGCGGCTTTGCGTCCCAACGCAGACCTGCAGGACATGGAGAGGGAGCTCAGCCCTGGCCACCGGCTGGAGGAGACGCCCTCGTACCCTGCCATCATGCCCCCAAAAACCCCTTCTGCAGCCCACGTCACCCTCCTGTGTCCCCCCAAACACCCCCCTCAAACAACCTCCCAGGTGGTTTGCAGCCAGACAAATGCAAATTCCCCCGTCGCTGGGGTGCAGAAGTGAAATCTCAGTGTGAAGGTCACTCCTCCGCACCCGGGGAACCGAAACCTGCTGCGGGGGCGGGGGGGGGAGGCATGAGAGGGGTACGTGAGGAGCATGTGGGCACATGGGGGCTGTGGGCAGGGCACTGCCAGGGGATTTTGGGGCATGGCATCGCTCTGGG